TGTTGTTACCCGTGTTTAGATTTGTTTCTCTGTGTGCTCGTGCTCTTGCATATAGCGCTTTTGTCGGCTTTTGTCCAGTATTAGTAGTAGTAGTAATAAATCTGGCTTTTCTCTCTTTCCAGTTTGTTGACTTTAGTACTAGCCTACTAAATAATAATATTATTATTATTATTTCACATTTCATATGATTTTAAGTCTACTGAGAGTGTGTGTGTATTTGTGAGTATCTGCGTCGTCGTGCCTTTTGTTTATATATATTTACCTTAGAAGGTGTCTTGTTTTCATAATTCTCTCGGCTTAGTTTGTCTTGTTATAATCTCTCACTCTCTTTTTTTCGCTTTAAAAGAAAAGATTGTGGTGTTTTACCAGTTTTACAAAATGTGGAGACAGGGGGGAGAGAGAGAGAACGACTTTTCATTCCTAATCTCTCTCAATCTCTTTTCTTTAAAGTGGACAGTGTGCTTTTGTTAACGTTTAATACTTATGCCATTATACTCTATCGTGGTTAACGGTGGCATCGGTGTAGGTAGGAAGGAGCCTTGCCAACTACGCACGTATGTTCAGGGGTTCGATTCTCGGCTGATTCACTCCTAAACTCCAACTTAGCCAATCGGTAGTAAGCTGACGGCCGGTAATCAGAGGGAAGGTTGGGCATGAAAATAAAATCACTGCTACTGAAGCTCTATGCTCCTTTGGGAAACGAGAATAATAATAACTCGTTGTTAAGGGCAACTTTTGAATTTTTCCCAGGAATACACTTTTCACAAAATGTTTGTAAAATCTCATTGAAATTGAAAGTGAGTAATTCCAACGTTTCCCGTGTTCGACAGACTTGTCCCAAACGTCTTCACGTAAATTAATCAAAATTTAAATAACGAACGCATGCGCATTTGCATAAAGGGACATATCTTGTCCAATCAAATGAGTCATGAAACAGACATCAAAATATAATAAACAAACAAAAACTGCATGAACTGTGATCAAAATTTGACCTCAGACATCTTACAAATATATTAGTCTACTTTTGTTAAACACTGTAAACAGTATGTACTTTTACGTCAGATTTTTAGTGATTACCTTCGACTAAAAGTTCATGGCCGTAGATAACTGATTATGAAAAAATATGTGTTAATGCGGCATACAATGGTGTGTGTGGGTAAACAGTTGTAAAACATTTGTTAGCCTCTCCATAAGAAGATATAGACAATCGGGAATTGAGACCAACTATGATTAATTACTGATACATATCCATTTTTATTTACTAATCAACACTTGCCATGCATCAGCCAACACACATCACACCTTCACGTCTGTTCAAACTGTTGAGATTCACCCATATATGTAGGGCTTCCGCAGTCAGTCTTTCTTTATACGAACCAAAACCTTTCTGTAGAACCTTATTCCTATCAAGTCGATTTTGTGTCCTGTTTCTATCGAGTGCATGGTAATCACAGATCTGTTTTTTAGCTTCTTTTAGTCTGCAAAGGTCTTTGGAACCACCTTTATACTCTTTCACTCTTATATTTACCTGTCTGGAAGTTTCTCCTACATATACGGCGTCACAGTCCCCAACAATTGATCTTCCATTTTATCCTTAACCTTCACCTGTGATAAGCGTAAGATAGTTAGTTGCACGAAAATACACTCTTATTTCATGATGAAAAGTACACTCAGTTCAAAGTGTTTAACAAAATTAGACTAATATTTGTAAGAAGTCTGAGGTCTAATTTTGATTACAGTTCATGCAATTTGGTTTGTTTATTATTTCTTGATGCTTGTTTCATGACTCGTATTGTAACACTAGAAGGCAAGACACGGAAGCCAAAGTATGTTTTCCATTAATCGAACTACTATGTATATATGTGCAGTTTATATATTTGTTAACCAATCACTGAGCCAGCATGTGATTTCGGTTTACGTCAAACAACATGAAATAGAATGACCAAGTATACATAGTATTCTTTTGTTAATGCGCAGTATATAACCGTGGGAAATGTAATCTGTCTCTAACATCAAATAGACTGTTCAAATAGATTATATTGTATTCTGTTGCTAATGTCGAATTGAACTGTGGGAACATGTGAGAATAACATTCCGTTAGTAGACATTGTCTGTATCACACCACTACAATATGATTGGACAAAGTTTTTAAAAACAAAAGATGTCCTTTTTATATATAAACCTCTGTTATGTTAATTTCGATTAATTTCCCTGAAGAAGTTCGGACTAGTTTGCCAAACACACAGGAAACGAAATTACAGTTGAAGAGTTACAATAAAGGATTGAGCGCAGAAATACTTACTTTTTCAATTAGATCCTCATCTCAATCTGACTCTACTCTAATCTCCACACACATGTATAGCATTTTTCTATGATACAATACACAACAGTTTACCAACCAATTGGCACTGATATGCTGGTTAATAACAATTAATCAATATCAACTTGTCATGGGGCTTGATGGCAATAACCAAGATAGATAATTCGAGCAATTAAAGGGTAGAAATGATTACAACTATAATAGCATGTAATTAAAGATGAGGAAGTGAGAAAAATAATTTGGACAATTATAATTTCAATTTACTAATCATCAGTTAGAGAGAACCATTGGAAAACCTGCAGGCAGTACTGGACAGCTGTTTCGTCCTAGTTCGGAACTCCTCAGGAGTACGTACACACCGGTGGTGTTTCGAACCCAGGACCTCCGGGTTACACGGCGAGCTAGCTTGTAGACTATTAAACAGTCACTGGGGCACGATCCAATGACCAGTCCATGAATTCTAACTTTTGCCAATTCACGACATAACCCGACCACTTCTCAATGTCTTCTGCGATGAGTAACTGTCCTCATCTTCCACCTGCTGTACCCCGGCGGGTGCGTACTGATGAGGAATCCCAAACTAGGCCGACGAGACAGCTGCCCAGTACTTGGAAATACCAATGATTCTAATTTAATAAAAATGTTGTAGGTTGTTGTATATTATAGAGTAGAGCCAAAGTGAGATGAAGATCTTATTGAAAAGCAAATATTTCCGTGCTCAATCCAATCCCTTTGCTTTATAAATATCTAAATGGGGATTGTTTTTTCCTTCCATTTAAGTTACATAGTAAGCATAAAAATCTAATAGTAAATACAATAACAAATAAATGCAGATAAGGTAAGGCCAGTGTCTCAACCGACTTCTTCTTTTGAATACATAAGTTAGGCTTCCTAATGAAGGATTTCAGCTGCCTAAGTGATATGTGTAACAGATGAACACTTGAAGTAAAATGAAGATTAGTTGGTATGCGGTAGATGACTTTGAAAGCCACCTCGCTGACATCAATTTGGTGTTCTGTATCTACGAGATGAGACAGTTATAGAACTATGAATGGTTGTTGTTCCTACCTTACTTAACCACTGTGCAGGATGGTGTTCAGAAATTCGACGATAAAAACACCTGATTGTACGACGTATGCAACTATAACTGGTTCATTCCACAGGAGGAGCAGTCCAATTGTGATAGATACACATAGAAGAGACGAAGTTAGGTGGTTTTGAAGAGACAGCATAATTCAGCAGCAGCAGCAGCACTGAATGATCTATTTGCCGCCACATTCCTTCGGCGTTGTGTTAATGTCTCAGCGATGCTACCATCGATGAGGAACTGAAGTTGTAGGAACGAGGCCTTCCTTTTCTTGGAAGTGTTACTATTATGACCTGCCTTGACCTTTGGTAATAACAACAATAGATTTGTCAGATCAGAAACATTGAATGGATTTTGCACTATTGACGATGATGTTGAGAGTCAAATACCCCCCAACATACTGACTATTGGCAAATGGTTCTTGACATCTCAAGGACCTCAGTGAGAAATAGTTTATACCTCCCTACATGGTTCAAGTGAACCAACAGTCAGAGATTTCATGGAGATATGTCAACTTTTGGTTCGCCCCCTCCCCCACACACACAACTCTTTTCGAATCGAATTCACTGCCAGTTGACCCATTGGTCTATGATGAAGGCGATACATTCTCCCATCCATAGTTTTGGAATCACTCTGAACCCTAACTTACTGTTTGCTCCTAAAGTGATATGTTTTTTCTTAAAGTCAGTCTGAAAGAAGAATATTCTTTTCAGTAATTCCTCTTCTTCAGGCTCTTACAATTATAAGATATAATATTTATTGTTGTCATTACAATAATGGCCAGTTATTGCGATGAATATATTTTTCATGTGGAGTAACAGGCTAGTTACGGGGTGACAAAATAAATAGTCGTATTTTGTGTGATAAACGTGCTGTGGGCTGAATTCAGTTATACAAAAAATATTATGAAATGGGAGACGATGAGGATGGTGATTAGTCATAATAGATTCATACCATGTGCGGTAGGGAAATAATATTGACAAGTTAGTTCAAGGTTACAACAATAGGTGGTGTCAGGTGAGTGAGTGGCTAGTACAAAGTGGTATGTATTGAAAAGAGACAGTAAAACTGAAATAACCAATATGTGAAACAGATGGTGGCATAATAAGTCCGGATAGTATAAGTGGATTATTCGATATTATTGAGAGAATGTTTGAATGAATAATAATAATAATGATAATAGTATTAATAGGCAAAGCGAAAGAGAAAAAAATCCAAGAGGGATAAGGGGGAAAAAGCACTCTTGCGTGAGAAGAAGAATCATTAATCTATGTTTGGCCACGGTAGGAACAACGTCTGAACGTGTGGATACAAAGTTCCGGTTAGTTGATCTTATTGCAACAGCTTCAGCTAATGTGTGTAGGAGACTTAAGCGAATTGTACGTGAAAGCGACTTCGGAATTTGGTTATATAACCCTGAAGGCTGTGTTGGCGTCGATGTGATGTCCGTCTGGTAAATGTTCTCGAACCCGTAGACGAACCTGCCTAATCGTTACACTCTTTATATATGTATAAATATACCCTTTTTAACCTTCCTTACAACTTCACTGTTGTTACTTTTTTCCCGCTTCTTACTCTCGTGTTCTTCTGTAGGCATTCACCAAAGACGATGTGATCGGTTGCTTTTTGGATACAATTGAGCATACAATTAAATGGTCGAAAAATGGCTTGGAATTCGGTGATGCATACAGAATTCCACCGGAATTAGTACATCCTAAGAATTTAATGGCATTTTATCCAACTGTTTCCCTGTTGAATTCCACTGTGGAGTTGAATTTCGGCGACAAACCGTTCAAATATTATCCTGGGGTAAGTTTCCTCTTTTCTTCTCTTTTTTTTGAAAAAAAATATTCAATGCATTCACTTCTCTGTCTTGCTACTTCATACAGCTCTCTCCACCTAGCAGATCTCAAGTAGATAGAAACTTCGTGTTGCCCTACTCCTGACATCATTGAACGCCGACTAGATTGTATCGCACAACTCTGTATGGGTGGGTACTACTGTAACGACAGAAGACAAGGGTCAAGCAGCAGATCGTTTATTTAGAAAATCAAGAGACGTTTATTTATTTTTATGTTGTTGTTTTCTTGCTGAAGGTTATTCTGTCATCTCTTTGTGACCGTTTCTTAGATAGTCAGGCCATATATCTGCGACTCATATTTGCACACGTCAAGTCCGCTGTGATTGGTTGGCGAGTTCCTCAAAGTTAAGCTTTGGTATTGTTTTTTCTCCTGACCCTGATTCGGGACGTAGACATTGACGTCAATTGCTGTCCACAATGTGGCTTGCACCACACTACTACTTCTACACGGGAAAAACACATGGTTTAGCGGGTGGAAGCGGATGCATCGAGGTTGATGCAGTTGCAGTTCCTGAAGACATCCTGTTAATGTCAGGGGGAATTAAATTTCCAATCATTTTTGCTCCACTATGTTTACGTGTGCGCGCCTATATCCATGTTCTCAAATGGTTTGGATTCAACCGTGAAAATTTATACTGGCTTCATATAATTTCATTCAGTTTTATCGTAAAATAATGCAAGACGAAAAGCTTCAGTGGAATTTTGAATTTAAAAATCGAATAGCAATTGCTGTAACACAAATGTATATTATTCAGAGCTGTTTGTAAGACTTTCCTATCTCGAAGCTTATCTGATACAGCCTAGACACTATTTTTCGAAAACTACTCACCGATAAAAAAAGAATCACTATGTTTATTATGATTATCATTATTCCCTTGGGTTCCGAGTGGAATTTAGAGCTTCACCAGCACATCTCAACTATCTTCTAGTTTCGACTGTCCTATTCAGCTGATCCTGCAGTTACCCATAATCCCTCATCTCCTCCTCCAACTCACACGATCTCCTACATGTCACCCTCGGACCCACGTCGCATTGGGATTCCACTCGATGGATGGTCTGCATTGAGCACCATGTCATTCGACAGTGTCCTTCCTCAACGTATGCCCTATCAATCTATCTCCATTTCCTCCTACATATTTGTTGAGCAATCGGCTCTTCGTTGGTTCATTCATTGCCATAGTTTCACATTGCTGATTCTTCCTGATCGGCTGGCCATTTTATCTTCAATATGGAGCCAGAGAGCGAAGTTGACAGCTGTTGATGAAAGTCTGCAATTGGCTGTTGGAAATGCTTTTCGTGAGGCATGCGTCGTGCAAGTTTCTCCCTCAAATAGAAGCACTGACTGACTGATTTCACCGCCATTTGTGTTGGAAATCCGAATGTTGTTCTCTGTGCTACTGAGTAATTGCGGACGATTTCCTAACTGATTTCAGATTGACGAAAGTGTATCTTGCCTTTCCCATTCTGGCTGGCTGGTGGTTTTCACATCTTCATCCGTTCCGACTACTGCATGTGGTTGAAACGATGCTGCAGCCGAGGGTAGATAAGATAAGTGAAGGAAGGAAGGAAGTGACCTCTTTCAACCTCTTTCTCCCGTTGATGGTGATTAGTGCTGGTTTTTGTTGTTGCTGTGCCTGTTACTTTTGGTGGCAGTGATGGTTGGTCAGCTGGTTATCTTCATCACCTCCACTACCCTACCTTCTCTGCGCCCATCACTTGGATAGAGTCAGTCCTGTCTTCTCTGCCAGCCAGCCAGTTTGTCTCCAGTTTCCTCCTGCCTGCAAGTCTTCCAGTCTGTGTTTGTGTTTTTGTGTGACATTCAACGGCATAAATCATCCACACGCAAATTCCAGATCTTCTTTAGTCTTGTTATATCGGTCAGTGCAACGTATTCCCTCGTGTCTTCTCACACTCCCCACAGTATCAGATAGGGTTTACTTAACTAGCATAGTTCTCTTCTTAGCAGACCGACCACTTACTTACCACTGATGATCACCTATCTGCCTCTTCATCAACCTGTGCAAACAACCAACCAACTGGTCATGAGTTTTAGCTGTTATCATTGTTGTTGCTGCTTTTTCTTCTGTTTCCCTTCTCAAGACAGTGGTCACCACCATCACGATAATAATAAAAAATTTTACTTCACTCTTGTAACAACTTATGACGCTTAATATTTATTATTTTCCTCTCCTGATGATATTTGGTTGGCTGTTCAATGTCTATGTCCCAAAACTAGTTCAGCCTAACTAACCCCATATGCCAAATGATACTAATACTTCAGCTGCCTTTTTTATCAGATTAACAAGGTTTGCATGTTTTATGTATCAGCATGTCTGTAAGTGTGTGTATGTGTGTTAGTGAATTCATAAAATTGATCTAGACAACGATTTAGTAGTTTCGTGCATATCTTGCCTTTCATCTCTCTACACTCTACCCTCTACTACTACAACTAGTTCAGTGTTTAGTAGCAATACTCCTCGTCAAGTGAAAGAGTATAATAAAATAACTCTGCCATGCATGTTTGTTGCAAGGTTGAGGGTAGTTAAAATTAGCTAGGTCATATTTTAATGTGTGTGTGTGAGTGTGTCACAAGCCTTTTACTCAAGTAAGTGTTCATTAATTAAGAGGGTGAGAAATGATCAAGCTTACGGTGTAAAAAGCAATGGCTGTGATTGTTTTTTTCTAACCGACTTTATAAAGGACATGCTGTTGTTGTTGTTTCAAGCCCTTCAAAATATATGGGATTACTGGCGAACTGATCTTTGGATCGATTTATTCTACATTTCGGTTGATTTCGATCCGATTGTTATTTGTTTTTTTAAAATTCCGATAGTAACCCAAGTCCTTACTGTATTCCATCAAATGTGTGTGTGTGTCGGCTGGTAGGTTTCAATGTCCAGGTAGGAAAGTCCGTTTAAATCCAGTTTGTTTTGATATGTCTTTTAGTTATTCGAAAAGTGTGTGGGGTGTCAACACCACTAACTCCGGTCAGTGGAACAGCTTAGCAGCATATATGCAATATACAATGAACTATTGATTAGAAATAGTGTAGTGACTCGGGTGATTCTAAGCTCCAAAGCAGCCCAAAACGAAGCTACCTAGTGAAGGTGCATTAATGACCTTGTGGGCAACCAATCAGATGACTCCGTAGTATATAGGCGGAATTATAGGTGCTGTACACAAACTACATAGCAGATTTTATCCAAATTTTAAACATTGCATTACTTGTATATAGACGTTTATTTCAAATTACGCACCTCTACTTTTACACGCATCTGATTGGTTGATAGAGATCTGTCAAGGTCTTTATTAGGTGGTTTTGTTTTGGCCTGCTCTACCTACCTACCTACCTTGCTTTAGTTGGTAAAATATTTGTCCCTTACTATATCCTTGTTGACTGCATACTGTACGAATTTCAAAAATAGTGTAACCATTTACAACTTTTTTGATAGTTGACAGTATAAGATATGTTACTAGGCTAGGCCCTTAAAAATCTCCAGCTCACTCATCCATACCACTGTAACCGCATCGCAGGACTTTGGTTCTAACTTCTCAGATGTGATATAAAATGTTTGCAGTTTTGTTTGTTGTTGTTCCCTTGGGTTCCTAGTGTAACATAGGGCTTCTGCTGTACTTTTCACCTGCATCCATGTTAGTCCATACTGTTTCAACTCCTCTTCACACGATCTCCTCCATGTCACCCTTGGACGTCCCACTAGCCGCTTCCCTTTCGGGTTCCACTCGAGCATTGGCCTGACGCGCGATGTCACCCAGCGGCCTCCTCAGTGAGTGTCCAATCCATCTCCACTTTCTCCCGCATATTCTTCGGGCGATTGGTTCTTGTTTTGTTTGTTCCCATAGTTTCTTGTTGGTGATTCTTTCCGGTGGCCATCTGATCAGTATAGAGCGAAGACAGCTGTTGATAAAGGTCTGCAACCTGTTGGAAATATTCTTGGTGACCTGCAGTTTTGTTTACTTTGTCACAATTATAATAATGCATATAAGGTGATCAATGAAAAGTGTTCACAACAGATAGTTGTTTTATAAGCCTATGAATATTATCCTCTTTTTTTCTACTCCTTTACATTCCCAGTGGATGATGGGGCTCCTTCAAGCTAGGGGCTTGAAGCTTCGGTAGCAGTGGTGTTTATTTCTACGGGATGAGGTTGCTAGCCTCATGCCCAACCTTCCCTCTTTACCAATCTTATTACTGGCCTAGGCGAGGTAAAGGAGTGCGTCGGTGGCCGCGGACCGAACCACATGAGGAGGCGTGGTTGGCGAGCATTCTACCTACTGTTGTGCTGCCGACGCGTATGAATGGTATCACCGTCACTTTTAATGTATGCTGTACATAATGTACATAACAGTGCATCAGAAAATAATCTCTTAAATCTTTTTTCACTTTTTTTATATACCTAGCCTGATTGGACGCCAGTATGTTGTGCACCACCAGAATGTACTAAGCGTTCCAGGAGAAAGGGTCCAGAAGTAAGTTACGTGTGCTTTTTATTATATATTATACTGCTGCTATTTTTATTATTATTATTAAGGATGAGTTTAATGGTCCAAAGGATGTTTGATATTCCGTACTTGAGCGGGATAGTGAATCTTAGCTGACTCCTGGACATTATACGCCGCGGCATAACAAGCCTGATCTCGTCACCTTAATGAATGTCTTGAGTTCGATTTCTTGCGGGGTCGTGTTGCGCGCATGACTGAAGCGTTCCAAAATAGGACGAAATAGATGTCCAGTACTCCTTTGTTCTCTCATTTGGGTCTGTCTCTCTAACCGTTGTTAGCCATGTGATGCGAAATCTAGCAAATTAAATTCAATTACTTAATCAAATCCCCCACAAATCCTATAAATCTAAATATTATGTATAAGGAGAATTCATTTTCACCAGGCATGTAAAGAGAAAAGTGTAGAAGAAAGCCAGTATTTATAGTCAGTGCTTTTGTATCAGCCAAAGCTATCACCGACTGACTGACTGGTTTCAACGTAGAACACAGCTCAGATGTGCAGCAGTTCGAGTTGCCATGCAACAGAAAACAGTAAACAGAGATTCAAAAGACAGATAATAAACAGAAGTGTGAGGGAGTCACAGAGTGAATGCATCTGCACCAGCGCCAGCCATATCATCACCAATTGTCTCCAGTCGCCATCGGCTTTCACCGTCATCTCGAGGACCTCGACCAGGCAGTCTACACCTCCCGACGTAGCTGGCTGGCTAGCTTAAAGTAACTGTTGTGGATTTCATTGACTGATGATGAAGCCATGTTTTCGTCTGACTACTACCACCACCAACATCACTAGCTAACTCCTCTCCAACCTCATCGGCCCATCCATGCTATGTCAGTCAGCTAACATCACCCAGCCCATCGGTCGAGGATAGCTATAAGCTTCCGTAGAATTCGTGTTCTGCTTCGATTAAAAGGTGTGAGGTTTTGTCGTTACGTGAGTTGCTGCTGCTGTTGTTACCGTCCATAATATTAATTAGTTAATATGACTATATATATATATCTGATGTAATGGAAATATTGTGTAGGGTTTGTCAACTGTGTGTTAGTCAAAAAACCAAAAAAGTGGATTAAGGCGTGGTACGTGCAACAACTAACCAGCATTTCCCCACCCCACCCCTCGCCTTTCTGTTCACATCTTCCACAACGCCCAAGCGAGCGAGAGAGAGAGAATACACACACTGACTTACGCTTGTTGTGAATATTAAAATGGCAGTTAAACACTATATCACTGTCACAGACTATTCACATCTATTAGCGTATGTGTCTAATATTATCAACGAGTTTTTGCATTTTTAATTTTCATAAACTAGAATTAGAATTCTTTTGTCGTTATATGGATGATAAACTTTTTGGCTATGAAAAATTGGGATGAAGCAAAGAACATCCTTGATAAATTTATCGATGTACAAATCCTGCAATAAATTTTACTATTGAAAAAGAAAGAGACTCTAGTATTTCTTTATTCCTAGACGTCCTTATGACTAGGAAAGAGTATGGTACAATAGGAAAAAGTGTATATAGAAAGCCTACATCAACTGACTATCAGTTTACTAATAAATCAATAAATAGTTGCTGAGTGAGAACGGGTTACCCAGGAAAATTCATCGATAAGAAAATGAATCAAAATTCAAGGCAGGCCAGAGTTCTAACCAACAGTTCCGAAAAAGACTTTATTATTACAACTTCAACTCCTTGGTGATGGTAACAGTGAGGTATTAACCCAACGCTTAAAGAATGCGGCAGTAAAAAGAGCATTCACTACTACTGCTGCTGCTGAATTATGCTGTGTCTTCAAAACCACCCGTATTTTGCGTTTATGAGTTAAATATCAACCGCCTCACTTCGCCTCTTCCATGTGTATCTACCAATTAGACTGCTACTGTTGCGGAGTGAGCCAGTTAGTTACATAGGCCGTACAATCAGGTGTGTTTATCGTCGGATTTCTGAACACCATCCTGCACAATGGTTAAGTAATGGACAAAACAAAATTCATTTGTAGTTCTATACTGTCTCGTCCCGTAGATACATAACGCAAGTTTGATGTCAGCGAGGTGGCTTTCAAAGTCATCGACCGTGTATACCAACCAAGCTTAATTTTACCTCAAGACTTTGTCTATTACACATACTGCTGAGACTGTTGGGTTCTGCATTAAGAAACCCTCTCTATATATGTCTGACTCCTCCCATTATGTAATAACAACCTGATCGTTACTCATTATTATTATTATTATTCCTACTATACACTTGAAGTTAATATTATGGTGCTGTTTTCTTGTTACAGCGCAAAGTGAAGGGTTGGTCGTATATTGATCCTGCGATGCTTGAACCGTCAATAAGACAGACAATAGAGGTTAGTCATTCCTTTTTCATCATACCTTATGTTATTATTATTAATATTATTAAAATTATGCTAATAGTGGGTATGATGTTGATGATGATGATGTTATGTGAGTCATCTGTGCTGCTTTCACTTTTTTTTTCTCTTCAAATTTTTTTATGACATGGTGATAACGATCATGTTGACTGTGTAGTGTGTTTTCTTAGTAGAGTGTGTTCTCCAGCCACATCCTCCGTGTGTCTTTGCTTGCTTGCCTGTGTGTGTGTGTGTGTGTGCGTGTGTATTACCACATGTGTTGCACCGATGACTTTTTTGTTTGATGAGTAGTATATCGGTCAGCTGTAACTGTGTCTATAATTAGTCAGCCAGTGAGTCAGTTAGTTAGTTGGTTAGTTAGTTTCTGTGTACTTGTGATATGTTGTTTACTCAGACGTCTGTCTTTAAACTAAAGAGTGCTGCCAACGCTCAAGTTGAAGGTGACGCCCTCTACTGCCAGAATGTGGGTTTGTTTAATAACAGTAATCATGATAATAATAATATAATCTACTTTCTTCCAAAAACAGCACTACTTATAATACAGTATGGAATTCTCAGCATTTACCCCACCACATATTGCATCCAAATTACTCAAAATATAAATAAAAATTAACCACGGGAATTTGTACACATTTACAGTAGGGAATAAAGTCAAAAATGTGCAAAGTACAAAATGAGAATAATAACTGTAATAACTAAGGATTTGTTTCAAACAATATTGTCGATGCAGTATGGAAATTTTACCATGTTATAGAGTTACAGGATTTCATCATGAGGTGACATTAGTTAGAGAACCATTGGAAAACCTGCGAGTACTGGACAGCTGTTTCGTTCTAGTTTTAAGCTCTTCATCAGTACGCACCCACCGGGATTCGAACTGATGAAGAGTCCCAAACTAGGACGAAACAGCCGTCCAGTTCTCCCAGATTTTTACAATGATTCTCTCCTGCAACCAATCAAATCCCTACAAACCAACACTTGAACATGTTATAGAGTCTTGAATCTGATGTTCTCTTGACATAGCAGCATGGTGAAGGGAAAAACAAAAAATAACAGATATCACAGAGCTTAAATGATGTTAACACTTATGAGAAAATACAAAAAAACAATGAGGGGACTAAAAATATAAGAATAATAATAACAGTAAGGCTTGACTGATAGTATAAGGGTGGAGAAAATTGTTTATTTACTAGTGGTAGGAAGGTTTGTTAGTTAGTTCGTCCCTGACACTATTTTCATCACATAAAATATGTGCTCCCAAATATAGTATCTTGGAATTATTTTTATATTTAGACGTGAGCGCATAAAGTCTTTTGCAATGACTTCTTGTTTTACCTGAGGAGGAGACACAAGGTTGGAGCTGCGGGTATATTGGGTGCTCACAGTCTGACAGAATCCCTTTAGTATTATTTGTTGTTGGTCCCTCTAACCGATCTCAGTTCCTGATGAAATCCTGAATACTGTCAGTATTAGATGAGAGTTATCTTGATGCGTATTTTTCTTTACTGGTTTTCGTGATTCTGTTCATCAGTTATTCTACTGTACTTTTCCTTATATTGTTGTTTCATTATTGTATGTATGTGTGTGTGTGTGTACAAACATTCCTAATTCAGGTTAGAGCCTTCCTTCTGTCCTACTCTTGAAGGTATTTGTTGTAAATAAACACATCCTTTTTCTGATCGCCTACAACTTTCTTGCAATCTTGATCTTCTATTCAACCCCTATGCATCATTGGCCACTATCACATTTTGATGTATTTGTGTTCTCTGAGCTGGATGGTTTATTTGCGAAGCTTTCGTCGCCCAAGTAGTCAACATCTTCGACGCATATGTCAATTTGAAGTAAGCGTCTAGATTTCTCTACGAGTTTATTAGTCATCTCTCTTGTTGACCTTGAACGTGATTGGTTATTTTTGTGTGTTTTCACACCATCTAGGCTACTTGTATAGGAACTGATTGTTTCCTTGACTTGAACTTTGACCCTTTGTTTATGAGATTTTCCTCTTATCGATCGGTAAATTTTGTCTGTGTCAATATATCTATTGATATGATTATGAACAATACATTTTGTTCGAAACGTCATCCAGTAAATAATACTGTTTCACTGTGTGATATATCTAATAAACAAATTACTATGGAATGTGTCTATTGATTGGTGATTCACTGGAATACCAGGTAGGCTTCTAAAAATTCTCCAGCATTCTTGTTGTTTCCTCTGTCTAATATTTGAACGTTGGTTGTCCCAGTTGAATTGATGTCCGTGGTTGACTGTATGTAGTGATATGAGGGAGTGGATGTCATGTCTTTTGACGGCTAGCTTATGTTCATGGATACGAAGACGAAGGGGATGTCCACTTTGACCAATGAAGTGTTAATCGCAGTCGCTGCAATTTATTTTGTAAATGATCTTGGTTTATCTTCTTTCGTTGTTGAGTCTTTTGGTTGACAAAGAACCAGCTGAGTGAAGTGATTTTATTGGTTTGTGTGTGACGTCAATTCCTATAGGTTTGAAGTAGGGCAATCACAGCTTCGCAAATAAACTATCCAGCTCAGAGAACGCAACCACATCAAAATCATCCACCTGAGCTACAAATCTTCTCCATCATATCACCACATTCTTATTAGTCACAATCGAAGACTAAAAAGGAGGGTATAGGATACTTCAGTGTACATCTGTTAAACTGAAAGTGGAAGAAACGAAAAGCCAAACTAACTAGCTGTGGTTGATCATAGGTGCCTGCGTTCTATCTCCTGTGTTAGGTGCTATAATAAAGTGAGCAATATTCAGTTTAGGCGTGGAGGAGGATAGAAAATCAATCGACGATGAGGTTGTGAAGCAGTTGCTTCGGTTGAGATAGATGGTTGGAGCATGTATAGCCCACACATGCCTGCATACCTGCTTATTTGGCTAGCCATTGTCTTCCTTACTCGACAGACGGACGGGTAGGGCGCGGGCGATGTTAGCTGACTGACATACGATGGATGGATGAGGTTGGAGAGGAGGTAGCTAGTGATCGTGATGTTGGTCAAACGAAAATATGGCTTCATCATCAGTCAATGAAATCCACAAGAGTTAGTTTAAGCCCATTATCCAGCCACGTTGGAAGGTGTAGACTGTTTGACTGGTTGAAGGCTTAAGATAATTAGTGATATGGCTCAAAATCGTTGTCAGTGGCTGGCGCAGATGCATCCACTCCTTGTAACTTATAATACCCAACAAAACTATACTGTTCTTCCATATTACTATTATTTTTGTCTGATATCTCTGTTTACTGTCTATAATATGCATTTGTTTTTACTTTCTTCTCTTGCTTTGTGTGCTACATGGAGTGTGGCGACTCGAACTGTTGCACATCTGTACAAAGTTTTATGCTGAAACCAGTCAGTCAGTCAGCTCTTGTAGGACTGTTGTCAAGGTACTTAGCCCTAATTTCCTATTGTTACTAAGACGCTCGGAACCGATAATTACTATGTACTTGTCTCGACTTCAACTCCAAAACACCAGTATTCTTTGAAGGAAGTTATATTGTTTGTCAATTAAAGTAAAGACAATTGCAAGTCTATAAGCAAATGTTTTGTACAAAATTAGAAGGTACTTTTATTCGTATTCTCTCGTCTTCGAACTTGCACACGATCGAACCATCCGCGCCTTCGAGTTGCCCTCCAATGGTGACCAAGGTCAATGAACCAACGTTCAATGTTCATATTCGTTGACAACTGTATTGGATATAATTGTTTGTAGTCGGTAACTAGTGTTGTAATGTGTCTAGTCCTATCTATGGTGCAGACCGAACTCTATCAGTCAGGTTTGCAATGTGATCACCATCCTAGGTAGCTCGTGGATTGCCTCCAACCATCTAACATCAACAATTCAAAGTGCACCATGATGCCCCGCTACCTAGTAGTGGCATGGTGACCACATTGCAAAGCTAATTGGTAGAATTCAGTCTGCGCCAAACAAAGGACTAGACACAGTACACTAGTTACTAGTGTCCAATGATATATATATGCATATATTCATACAGCATTATATTTTCATGTTTCCTTAAACCATTCTTTCCCACATCGGTGAATAACTCATGTGTTCATATATATGTACGCTAGCCGCTTGACGAACCCTGTCTCTAAACTTGTAGGCACACATTTTTGCTAAACTGACAGTATTCCTCTTTAGCTACACATTATATTTATATTATACATTTTGTTATTTTTACTAATACATCCTTGTGCCTTATTATTATGACTATTATTTTCATTCGTTATATGTAATTAATTACTTACCTGCGTTTCTTACTGTGTTATCATTATTATTATTCTATGATCATCATTCAAGCATCGCAATGTTTTAGCTTGTCTTTGTGTGTGTGTATATGTAATTTGGAGTGACGTAAATGTTTCTTGCCAATGTCTATTCCTCCTCCCAACATTTGATTAGGTGTATATCATATATATACACGTACTTCAAGTCTTTTAATGACATTTAGTATCTGCGTCTATATATTACCCTCTCACTTCCCCTTCTATCCCGTCTTATTTGATTCGTTCAATTGGTTAGTCTGTCCGTCTGTCTATGTGTAGATGTGTGTAGCTCTCCTTTATTCTCTTTCCTCCTACTCCTCTCTTCAACCTATGAATGAGTCATTTGGTTCAACTGACTAATTTATTTATATATATGTAATTTTTGGTTTAACCACACTTTATTTGAAATCACGAGTCACCTTCACTTGTTTCGCTTGAAAATATGACTGGCATGGCATTTAAATGGGCGGGCTAATCTTGCAGTGGGTTACTAAACTGTGATGACACTCTGGGATTGACTTGTTACCTACCACCAGGGAATAATTTCGTTGATTTGGAGTAATATGCAGACGATATAATAGCCCCCCCCTCACCAACCAGGTGAAGACGTACTGACATAATAGGGTGGAGTCTTCTCAACACCTTCAGCTCGAGCAGCAATCTTCGAGTGTCCGACAT